TCCCTGCCATAAGGGATCCGAAGCAGCTAGCGACTCTCGTGGCCGTAAGTCACACGGGACTGCTGCTGTTGCTGCTGCTGCTGCTGCTGCTGCTTAAACTACTTGTGTGGGGCAAATGCTGGCAATAACACTGCCAATCAAAGACAAAAAATAAGAAATAACAATAATAATAATAATAATAATAATCATAATCATAATCATAAAGTAATAATAAATAGCAATAATAGCAATAGTATTATTAGTATTATCACGATATAATAGTAATAATAATAATAAAATTATCATTATAATTTTGACAACAATAACAATAATAATAATAATAAATAAAATATTATTTCTTGTCTGCAGGCGGGTCACTCAGTGGACCCCGGGGTAACAGTGTCTGCCTTTTGGGCGTTTCTTTTTCCTCTTTTGGCATCAAAGTGAGAAAATAAAAGTGAATAAATAAAAATAAACAAAAATAAACATTAAATAATCAAAAAGAATGAAAAATAATGGAGAAATAGCCTTTTCCGGAGAGTCCCAGACGGCCTCCAGCAAATGCTGCGGTGTACGTACACCTGGTGGACATGCACTGCATGCGCACAAAGGCACTTCGAAATTTGAAATAATTAAAATCCATTTCTTTGCATTTTGAGGCTCTAAAGATGCTTTTAAATTGCCAAATTAAAGTATTTTATCCCTAAAAGTATTTATTTCATCTTCTTTCGTGAATCTGGAAAAATAACGCAAAAACGCATGCAAGTTGCAGTGTATGTACACTCCGCGAATTTTTTCGCCTCTCCTCGCCTCTGCAGCTTTGTGCACAAAGTACCCAATCTGCAGTGTACGTACACTCTAAATGTTTGCAAGAAAAGAACAATTTGCATTTTTATTTTCTTCAAAAAATGTAAACTAGAATCCCGCGCCTGCTTGGTGCGCGGGAAGCAGCAGCAGCAGCAGCAGCGCCATTGTGTACTTTGCTGCAGCGCAGCAAACTTCACTCCGAGGGACGCAGCAAATGTTGCTCTCTGCCTGCATCGGCTGCAGCAACAGCAGCAGCAACCGCAGCAGCAACAGCAGCAGCAACAGCAGCAGCAACAGCAGCAGCAACAGCAGCAGCAACAGCAGCAGCAGGAACAGCAGCAGCAACAACAGCAACAACAGCAGCAGCAGCAGGAACAGCAGCGACAGCAGGTGCTGCTGCAGCAATTGCAGCCAGCCGGCTGGATAGAAGAGTATTTCAGACGCCTCAATAACGTGACGCTAAACCCTAAACCCTAAACCCTAAACCCTAATGATGAGGACAAAGAGCGATCAGCGCGCATCTGCGAGTGCTGCTGCTGCTGCTATTGCTGTACTTGCTGCCGCTGCCGTTGCTGCTGTTGCTGCTGCGCGTGCTGCTGCAGTTGCTGCTGTTTCTGCTGCACTTGCTGCTGCTGCTGTTTCCGTTGCTGCTGTACATGCTGCTGCTTCTGCTGCTGCTGCACTTACTGCTGCTGCTGCAGAGCCCCCTCTTCTGCTGCTAGCAGCAGTTCCGCGTTTGCTTCTTTCCCGTCTCCCCGAATTAATTAATATTTTAAATTCGTTTAATTTATTTTTCTCAAACTTTTTATTTGTCTCCAAATATATTTTCTTTTGCCTTCTTTTGTCTCCTTTGCTGCTCAGGCAGCAGCAGCAAAGCACTGGGCCAATGCAGAGCTGCGCGACGCTGCAAATGCTGCCTTTGCTGCTGCTGCTGCTGCACCAGCTGCTGCAGTTGCATATGCTGCTGCAGCGCCTGCTGCTGCTGCGGCGTCTTTTGCTGCTGCAGCACCTGCTGCTGCTGCTGCTGCAGCAAAACCCGCGCTATCTCCGCTGCTGGAGCTCGCGCTGCAGCTCTTCAGCAAAGCAGTATGTTTGTTCTTTCCTTTTCTCACTTTTTCAGATTTGTTTTATTTTATTTTGTTTACTTGTCTCCATTTTATTTTTTTAATTCATCTTTGACTCTCTTTTGTGTCTTTATTTACATTTATATTCTTCTGCCTCTTCATTTTATTTGTCCTCCCTTTTGTTTGTCTGTGGAGCATAAAGCTTCAGGGTTTAGGGTTTAGGGTTTAGGGTTTAGGGTTTAGGGTTTGCCTGCAGCAAAAGCAAGGCCACCCAGTCTCTCCTCAAGACGTGACTCGCCTGCTGAGGGCTCTGGCGCTCTCAGCTGCTGCCCCAGCAGCAGCAGCAGCAAATATAACAGCAGCAGCAGCAGCAGCAGACTTGGCAGCGCATGCAGAACGCAGCAAAGGCCTCTACTCGAAGAAGCAGCAGCAGCTCGTTGCAGATTCGCTTATACAGGTGGGTGTCTGTACACTGAAGCAGCGGCTGCAGCAGCAGCAGCAGCAACAGCAGCAGCAACAGCAGCAGCTGCTGCAGCAGAGCTTTTAATGCCGCTACTCTTGCCAGTTCAACGCCTTTGCTGCTGTCGTCGCTGCTGGGGGCGTTACTGCTGCTGCGCCTGCTGCTGGCCCTGCTGCTGCTGCTGCTGCTGCTGCTGCAGTTGCAGGTAGCAGCACCGGAGGGCCTGAGGGACTGGCTGCTGCCGAGGGGCAGCTGAGGTGTACGTACACCTGAAGGGCCCTGGAGAGAAGCAGCAGCACTTCTGCCTTTTTGCTGCTGCAGAAAAACCTGAAAAACTAAATTTCAAAAAATGAGAAGTTGAATTTTATTTGACTTTTATAGTTTTGCAATTAAAGATAATTTGTTTTTAAAAAGCTTTTTAGATTGGATTTAAATTGAAAGAGGGTCAGAATCTTTTCGTGTTTTAATTAATGAATTGAATTAATAATAATTTGCATTTAAATAAATTTAGTCTTTTGTTAAAATCAATGCAGTGTCTGTACAGCTGCTGCTCAGGTTTGAATCAATGCAGTGTATGTACACCGCGCCGCTGCTGCTGAGTTTGCAGACTTTTCTGAAAAGACTTTTAAAACACTTTTGAGAAAACTGAAAAGAGAATTGACGAAAACAACAAAAAGAAATCCAAAGAAGCCGCGCAGGCAGTCCTCAGACGCGCTGCAAACCCTAAACCCTAAACCCTAAACCCTAGTCCCACAAAAGGCCGCATTTGCTGCTTCTGTTCTGCGCGGCAGCTCTCTGAGGTGTACGTACACCCGAATCATAAAGGCTCTTGTGCTAACTGCTGCTGAGAATTAAAAACAAGAGGCTCTACAAACCACAAGCACACTTTTGCAGTTCCTCTGGGGTAACCCCGATGGGGCCCCCCTGGGGGCGCCCCTGGGGCCCCCCTTTGGGGCCCCCCTTTGGGGCCTCCCGGGGGGCCCCTTGGGGGCCCCCCATTGGGGCCCCCCTGGGGGGCCCCCCAAAAGCCGCTAGGGCCCTCCCCCCCCTCTCCTTGAGGCGGAGGCTTTTAAAATGAGTTGATTGCAGATTGCAGGTACGCATGCACTCGAGGTGTATGTACAGCTCGCGCGGGAGGGTCTGAGGTGTACGTACACCCGGAAGTTCAGGGCTGAGGGCTGAGGTGTACGTACACCCGAAGGTGCGCTGGCCGGAGAGCCGCGGGGCCCACCTCACATGGCCTGGAAGTGTACATACACCTCAAGAGAGAGCCGAGCTGTCCGTACACCCCAGCTCTCCCCTCAGCTGTCTGTCCTGCTCAGGCCTTCTTCGGCTGTCTCTCCACCTCCTCCTTCCTCAGGTGTCTCTGCAGCTGCTGCCCTCTGAGGTGTCTGTACACCTCCGTCTTCCCGAGGTGTCTGTACACCTGCGGCCTTCGAGGTGTCTTTCCAGTTGCTGGCCTTTCGGGTGTCTCTACACCTCCGTCTTCCTGAGGTGTCTGTACACCTGCTGAGGTGTCTGTACACCTCCGTCTTCCTGAGGTGTCTGTACACCACTGTTTCCTTAGTTGTCTGTCCGTCTGGGGCATCTGAGGTGTCTGTACACCTGCTTCCTTTGCGGTGTCTGTACACCTGGGGTGTCTGTACACCTCGGCGTCTCAGGTGTACATACACCTCAGGTGCCTGTACACCTCGGCGTCTCAGGTGTACGTACACCTCAGGTGCCTCTACACCTCGGCGTCTCAGGTGTACGTACACCTCTCGCTACCCGAAGGAGTGCAGCCGAGGTGTCTGTACACCTGCGGTGTCTGTACACCCCGGCATCTCAGGTGTACGTATGCCCCCCGCTATCGAAGTCAGAATGGGGCAGAGGTGCCTGTACACCTGAGCGTGTGGGGTGTCTGTACGCCTGGGATTCTGAGGTGTACATACACCTCTTGCTACCCGAAGACAGAACGGAGCAGAGGTGCCTGTACACCCGAGTGTCTGTACACCTGGTGTTTTGGGGTGTACGTACACCGCGTTAGCCGAAGACGGAGTGGAGCACCGAATGCTGCGCACGTGAGGTGTACGTACACCCGAGTGTCTGTACACCTGGTGTTTTGGGGTGTACGTACACCGCGTTAGCCGAAGACGGAGTGGAGCATGGTTTTGGAAAGGCTGCGGTGGGTCTTCCAGGCGTCATATCTGTTGGTTTGTTTCCAAAGGTAGTAAAAGTCGACGATTTCTTTGGTGGATTTGGTTTGAATGAGCCGCTGCAGCAAATTGAAGTCTTTGCCGAACTTGCAAATTCCGGCTTCGAAGAGAGCCACTTCTTTGGGGCCCCACAGGTCCAGCACATTGGCGTGTCTTAGTGGGGAAGTGAGGAGTTCGACGGGGGTGAGGCGGAGTCTGCTGCTGTGGCTGCTGCTGCGCCGCTGCTGCTGCTGCTGCTGCTGCAGCAGCGCCTCCTGCTGCGCCTCCTTCCCCGCGCCCCCCGCGCCCCCGCTGCTGCTGCTGCACCGCAGCGCTGCTGCTGCTGCTGCTGCCCGCTCCCGCTGCGTGTTGTTGCACACTATCAACTTGTGCATCATTGTACCCACTTGGCTCTCGGGGCCCCCGTCCCCAAAAAGCTCCTCTTCCAGGCGTCATATCTGTTGGTTTGTTTCCAAAGGTAGTAAAAGTCGACGATTTCTTTGGTGGATTTGGTTTGAATGAGCCGCTGCAGCAAATTGAAGTCTTTGCCGAACTTGCAAATTCCGGCTTCGAAGAGAGCCACTTCTTTGGGGCCCCACAGGTCCAGCACATTGGCGTGTCTTAGTGGGGAAGTGAGGAGTTCGACGGGGGTGAGGCGGAGTCTGCTGCTGTGGCTGCTGCTGCGCCGCTGCTGCTGCTGCTGCTGCTGCAGCAGCGCCTCCTGCTGCGCCTCCTTCCCCGCGCCCCCCGCGCCCCCGCTGCTGCTGCTGCACCGCAGCGCTGCTGCTGCTGCTGCTGCCCGCTCCCGCTGCGTGTTGTTGCACACTATCAACTTGTGCATCATTGTACCCACTTGGCTCTCGGGGCCCCCGTCCCCAAAAAGCTCCTCGGGGGGGCCCCCCGGGGGGCCCCCCTGGCTCACCATGTGGGCCCCCCCGGCCCCCCGAATGGCCTCCACGT